CTAAGTGGATGCACACTGAGGACACATTCTTAAGTGAAATTAATAGAACACACATGTGTAAATATTGTATAGTTTCTCTGGTGTGATAAACTAAAAGTGTAAATGAGGGTCAAAATGTATGCAATATTTTGTAATAGGAAGAAAAGGTCTAAAGGTATTGGGCAAATGGGACGGGTAGGGGAAAGGTAAAAAAGGAAGAGAAAAAATAAGAGAAAAGGAAGAAAATTGAAAGTCTTTGTAAATAGGGATTGGTGGACAGGGGAAGGGAGGCTAGGGGAATGGGGCAAAAATAAGAACCAAGATACGTTATGTAAAGGTACAAGATCCCAATGATGAATGTGATTGTATTGTATATCTAAAATGTAACAATAAAAATAATAAAAAAACGTTAAAGAAAACATGAAAAAAAGATAGAGAAATAGGAAGTAGTGAGAAATTCTAATAATTCCCTGAATTATATGTTCTGTGGTTTCAAAAATATTTCAAAATATATGCTAATTTGTTTCATTTATACCACTAGATCCTCTTAGTTCACCAAAAAGAAAGTTTTGTTCTATTATCAATTTTTTTTGTAAGAATCTTTTTGTCAATGACTTGTACTCTAACATTTTGGCTATTCTTTTAAGATTATGGTACACAGTGTATTAACTGTTATTCTTTAACTTGTTTTGAAATTTTGCTTCATTTTTCATAGCAGACTTTTTAAAAAATATTTTCTTTATTAATATCTACTTGTATTACATTGAAATAAAGTTTTTTTCAAAAAATAAACCCCCAAAACAAAAAAAGAGACAGAGTTTGTAGACTACCATTAGATTCAGTTGCACCAGGAGACACTGACACTCTAGGGCTGAGTGAGGTAGTGGACTTCCTTGGAGAACTTGTTAGAAAAGAAATCCCTCTTGCTATGTGAAGGTGTTTGGCATTGGAAGGAAAACGGAAACTCCGTGGTCTTCAAACTTGAGTTGAAAAGTGTATCCCACGGCACTTTCAATATAAGCCCAGAAAAGCAGTGCACGTGGGATTCCTTGTGCACCCTCTTTCCCCTGTGGTCTTAACAGACCAAGCATCAAAGACTGTGGTAGCTCAGAATGTCATAACCAGAGTGTGCTTTTCCTCTATTGTCTTCATCAAAAGTTTTTATCAAATGTCAAGTGTTTTCTCATTGTCAACAGTCATCATCCTTAAATTTTTCTGGTTTCCCCGCATAATTAAAAAGTGCATCATGTGCTGCCTAACAGCAGAGATATAGTCTGAGAAGATGGCACTGGATAATTTCATTGCTGATTCACAGAGTGTGTTTGCACAGACTGAGAGAGCTGCAGTGTCACTAGGTGATCTAATCTGAGGAGACCATTGTAGATGCAGTTTGTCATTGACTGCAGAAGTTGACACACAGTGCATGAATGCATTACATCATTATCACAGAGAGTTAGAACACAAGAAAAAATGGAAATGTTTTCTAAATCTAATCATTGCTCTCCCAGAGATGAATGTAAGCATGTTAATACATTTTCTTACAAACTTTTTGAAGTTTAGTGAAGCTTTTCAAAACAGAGAAGTAAAGAACAATGATAATACCTTTGTACCTGCCATCTATTTTTACACATGTAAACATTTTGTCATATTTGCCTCAGAAAGAAATAAAATGTTAAGTAACAGAATAGAAAACAATAAAAACAAATAAAATATTAAAGATAGATCTACAGTCTCATTTGACAACCACTACCCATTTCCTAGTAGTAACCACTATCCAAGAGTTGATGTGTGTCATTTCTGGGTATAGTTTTTCCTGGTACAGAAAGGGATATAGATACAAAGATACAGTGGACCCTTGAGTTATAACTGGCCTGACACAAGAACAACTTGGGTTATGACTGGAATTTTAGTTTTAACTTATAACCAAACTCTTGAGTTATGATCTAAATGCCAGCCACTTGTGCTCCCAGATGGTCTCAGATACAGATTTAACCTGTAAAGAGTTCTAGAAGGAGTATTATAACAACCTTTCCCTTGTAAGGTTAATTGAGAAATCCCAGGCCAATGTCTCTCTAAGGACATTGAGACCTGCCTGTATACCAGAGAGAGAATTTGAAGGTGGTGTAGAGGAGTTGGAGCTTTCAATTGACCGACTTGAGTTACAATAAACCCTCATGAATGAGTTGAGTTCATAAGTCAAGGGTCCACTATAGTTAAGTCTGGGGATTTAGCTCAGTGGTTCTGTCACCTACTTTGCAAGTGCAAGGTCCCGAGTTCGATCCCCGGCACCAAAAAACAAAACAAAACAAAAGGCTCTGAATAGAAGGATTAATTTTGTAAAACTGTATGTAGGTTAAAAAGCTCCTTTTAAGTGGCACTACTCATTTACTAGTATGGAGCACGAAGCACACATATATCATCTCTCTTAAGTCTATAAGAAAGTTTGGCACTATTATTCTAGTCTCTTATTTTACAGGTGAGGAGTCTGCCATCGAAAGGATTTCAATTATTTGCTCATAAGTGGCCACACAGGTAGTGACAGAAGAATCATGCTCGAATCTTGGAGATTTTTCACCCATTAGAACACCTTAAGCTTTGGCTCAGAGTATGTCCTTGTAGAGCATAACCGGGATAAGGTAATTTCTAGAGTTTACAATCTCGTATTTCTGTGAATTTATTCAAATAGAATGTGGTAATATTTGCAGTCATGGGATATACTTTAAAATACCTGACACCCCTTCAGGCCATTCAGGCAATCAAACACTTTGAAAATGCACAATTAATACTTGTTGATGTGAATGTAGTTAACAAATTAAAGATATTAACTGAGCCAAAGTTTCTCCTATACACACATGGGCAGCACTTGGAAACCCAGGACAGTTCTCATCCCATGATGAGATGGGTGTTACCATCATCATTTTTCTTCAGGTATTTTGAAGACCCCTTAATTGGCTTTGAAATCAACATATTGCAAATAAGATTAGGACAATAAGGACAACAGTTTTTGTTTTGTTTTGTTTTTTGAGACAGGGTCTCACTATGTAGTTGAGACTCATCTGGAACTCACTATGTAGCCCAGGCTGGTCTCGAACTCACAGCGATCGTCCTGCCTCAGCCTCCCAAGTGCTGGGATCACAGGTGTGTGTCACCATGCCTGGCTCAGAACAACAGGTTTTGCAGACAACAAAAATAAACACAAAATAAATCCTTGATATTACCTTCTCAGGCAGAGTTAAAATAAACAACCTTGGATTATACAGTGCTATTTAATATGTATCAAACAGGCAAGGATGAGTTTATTTATGTCAGCTAATCGGTGAGTTTAGGTTAAGGTCTATATAAAGCTTAAGACATTTTTGGAGGGAAAATAAGGAGCAAGCAGGAGTTATAAACTCTGAGAAATCATTCTTACAAAAACAGCTAGACTTAACTGGGTCACCGAGGTTTTCGATTAAGTCTGAGGAGATCAAGTCTAAAGGAACAGAAATAGATGGGCTGCAGGTTTTCCTAGTTTAGTGTTTCTGAGCAGAGACGATACACTTTGCACTGAAGGCTTGTATTCTTCCCACTCTGTGCCAGCCCTGGATTCCAGTTCCTCCCCCTCCATTCTGTAGTAGAAACAGCACAGTCGTGAACTTCTGGTCAGGAAAAATGATCTGTTTTCTCATTTCTCTTCTGTCACATGATGTGAGACTTCAGTCAGTTGCATGTGAAACTCAGCCTACCCATTCCACTCTGGATTCTCAGACCTCCAGCCGAATTTAGTCCCCATGGTCACTGCCTGGAGCACCAACTGATCCCAAATCCCTTCAACTCCTCCACCAATCACCATTTCAACCTTTTTTCCTCAGGCCCGGTTCAAACTCATTTTTCCACCTCTGCATTCCCAAGGATCCTGCCTGTTAGCACACCCAACAATCACCCATGTCCAGCCCCACGGTGTGCCCAGACTCACCCACAGTCCTGCAGCCAGTCTTCAATCTTGTTGATTGGATTCCCTAGAGAAGTCAAATACCAGATTATTGCGAGAATGGAAGAAAACAGACCTCTGCCCTGCCCAACTCACCTCTTACCCCATTCCACAATTTTGTCCGTATGTAAGTCACATTTTGATCCCTCCCCCAATCTTTTCTGTAAGATGCAAGTAAAATAAAACCATATATAAGGACAGTGGATCTGTCTTCTCTTTGCCTGTCTTCTCCTTGGGAACCTAGGAAATGTCCAAGCCATCAGTCCACTTTCTTTTCCTCAAGTTTTGGGAACAGAGATGGCTCCTTTTCAAAAACCAAACCAAACCAAAACCAGAACAAACCAAAACAAAATAAAACAAAAGCACATCTGTGTGCCTTTTGAGTCCTACCAAATAAGCAAGGATGAGTTTATTTCTTTCAGACTTCCTGTCTTACTCCCATGTCTGTGGTCTTAGGTGAACCTCTGAGAAGCATGTAGGAAAGTGCCCACTGCTTCTGCTGGACAAGTACAGCTTAGGCAAGTGACTTTCCAAAAGCCACACAGCTTGTTAGTGACAGCGCCATGTCCAGGGTCCAGGGGCGGCTTGAATGTAGTGTTGTTACATAAACAACGCAGAGATCTCCCACGGCATTCATACATGGACAACCCCTAGCCTCAGTGTCTTACAGAAGCTTCTCTGGATGAAGCAAACATGTCCTCTTCTTCTTTCCTAATCTTACACCTGCTTCTTTCTCACACAATTCATATCTAGTAGCCTAACCTCAGTGTCTTACAGAAGCTTCTCTGGATGATGCAAACATGTCCTCTTCTTCTTTCCTAATCTTACACCTGCTTCTTTCTCACACAATTCATATCTTGTATTACTTTATACTTCTTCTCTTCTACCCAAAGTGAGTCTTTCGGAGACCCTAGTCCAAACACATTTGCCCTGCTGGAGTCCGTGTGATGTCTACAGCCTCTTACCTTCCTGGAAGACATCGTCCAGGCTGGAAGGCTCGGGATCTGGGACATCCTGCAGGGCAGCTGCGGCTTCCTCTTCTAGGACCTGCGTCTGCCAGTTGCGGCTCTGACGGAGCCAAGCTCGACGTTTCTCCCAGGATGTGGGGCTCAGCACAGAGGCCTCCATGGTCCCGGTCACACTTCAGTGCCTCTCACCACCTTAACGATGTCCTGAGAGTGGAAGCACAGTGACCCTTCCTCAGCTCCTATTCAGGAACCTTTGTTCTCAACCATGGCCTCAATGCTGCCCGTTTCTGCTAAAGGCTGCCTGATCCGTCTCACTGGGAGGGAGGGGATGCCTCACCCGGTGTCTTCTTCTCCCCGTTTCCCCCAGAAAGGAGTGCTCTGAAAATATCTAAATACGAGCAAATCTTTTCACTTAGTAAACTTAGAAAGCTTCAAATTTCACAGGATTTGAGGGGCACTGAGAAAGCATTTGTGATTTAGGGTGAGGGTTAGGGCCAGATGAAATGATGGAGGGGGAAGGGAAGGGGAAGGGAAAGGGAACGAAAAACAGAATTAAGATGTGTTCTGTACATGTGCCAACTCCACGCGAGGGATGTGATCATTATGAACTACACACATGACTAATAAGCTAAAATAAAATATGAATAAATAAAAAAATAAAACCTAGTCTCAAAAAAAGTTTTCTTTGCTTAAGGATTTTAACTCTCAGAATCCTGCATCAAAACTAAAATATCTTTTAATTTACAATTTATAAAGTTCACTTTTTGTCTTGATTTGTTTTGTTTCCTGTTTGATATGTTTTTCTCAGGAAAAAAAAAAACCTATGAAAGAAACAAGGAGACACTGCCTTAGAGCAATGAGCAGACATATTTAGGCTGATTACTTTCAAATTTGTCTACTTTTGTTTCTACCTTACTGTGAGATACTTATCCTGTTTATTGATGCACTTACTGATCCATACACTTGTATCCCATTTAACACTACCTAATCAACAACTTTGTTTTTTTTTGTACCAGGGATTGAACTCAGGTTCTTGTGCCTGCAAGGCAGGCTGCAGAACCACTGAGATAAATTCCCGGCTATGTATTTTAAAAAATATATAACAGTGGCTCTATGCACAGATTCAAAAAGGAAGAGAGAAGGGAAGCCTCATTCAATTGTCCAGAGGGAGTTTAGAAAGATTGGAGGGTCACGCTGCCTTTTCCTTCTGGCCGCACTCATGTCCCATCACAGTGAATAAATAGATATGGGACCAGGACTTTCCTGTTTTCCCCTTTGTATTAGTCAACCTTTTCTTGCTTGGAAGAGGAAAAGGTAAGTTAGGCTCACAGTTTTGGAGTTTTCAGTCCATGATCAACTGGCTGCATTGCTTTTAGGAAACACGGTGGAAGGGAGTGGTGGAGGAAAACTGCTCACCTATGGCACGGGGAAGAGACAGTGCAGGAAGAGCCAGAGAGGAAGGGGCTGGGGGACAGATTCACCCTTCAAAGGCGTGTGCCCAGGGATCTGCTTCCTCTAACTGGGCTCCACCTCCTAGTAGCCCCATCAGCTTTAAACTCATCAATGGCCTAATCCACTGATGAAGTCAGCACCCCTATGAATGAGTCACCTCTGTAGGTCCCACCTCTGAATGTTTTTGTATTAGGGATCAAATCCTTAATACCTGGGACTTTGGGGCACACTTCATATTTAAACCACGACATCCTCTATTTCCTTTAGCTGCCATAAATGACATCATCCTCAGAGATATACTTTTAATTGTTGCAGTTAACAAAGATAGCAGAAAAGAAGAGTGCCACTTTCCAGAGACTTCTGTTCTTCCAGGACTTAAAAACAAAATCATTAGTGAAGCATTCAACAGTTCAGGCACTAAAATAGCAATTTTTGAAAAGAACATCTTGAACATAAACTATTTTTCTAGGGCAATGAAATTGTTTTAGATGCCTCTGCTTGCCACAGGCAGAATATACCCAGAGAAAAATAATACATAATTACTGCTGTCTGACATGGATTCTTTCACTTCAGGTCCAGCCCAAGACATTTTTTCTCCCAGGCGAGATGGCAGTTAGCACAACTGAGAGTTTGTGTTTACTCCAAGCAGCTGGCTCTTGTGCCTTTTGGGGACATTAAATGAAGCTTGTGTTATAGGGGAATCACCAAGGAGGATAGCAGAAATGACTGGCTGTTCTTAAATGTTAAAGACAGTATGACACTGCCACCAGAAAGGGTTCATGAAGAGAGTCAGAAAAGCCTTATCAGAGTATGTTTCCTATTCCTGCTTTCCAGAGTATTGAATAAGTCAGTCCCTCTTGGCCCAGGGAAGAAAATATTGAAGGCTGACTTGCCTATCTAATTCCCAAAGGAAATGAAACTCACCCAAATCAAAAGGCATCTTTAGAGTATAAGAAGATTTTTAGGTGACTAGGGGAATGTAAAAGGAAGACAGAATTGCAGGATGACAGGAGCACAAAAAGAAAGAAAAGAGAGGGAAAGGAAGGAGAAAAGAAGAAAAGGAAAGAAAGGGATAAGTGACATGCATTTTGCTACTTACTATTGGTATACATAGAAAATTCAATCCCTTTCTCTTGTTTCAATTTTTTGGTGAGGACATCACAGCTCTAAATGTTCACTATTCCAGTACTGTAAAGTCTATAAACTAGTTTAGAACTGAATCCTCATAATGCCTAGAATGGTGCTAGACTCACTAATTGAGAAGATAGAATACTTTGACGCTGTGATGTGAATCTACTTTACATCTCTCTTCCATCTCTGAAAATATCTCACAGTCACGTAGGCTAATTTCCTCGCCCCTTTCAGTCTCCAGTTTTCTCACATTTTCCCCTCCCTCTTTCTTCCCCTTGGTCTTTGTTGAACTTGACCTGCAATGCCCAGTTCTTAACCAGCTTCCTTCATGAAGCCAGACTTGGCTTCTGTAGCCTCTTTAACTGGTGCCACTGAATGTTTTCCCTGCGTGACTTTTTCTTCTTAGTTGTTACCAATGTCATTCTTTATGTTTTACTTAGTTATCTAATTTATTGTTTACCACTAACATTCTTTCTATTTTTAACTTTTTAATATAATTTATTATTTAGTCTTCTTATTAGAATATAAGCTCCAGGAGGACAGAGATGCTTGTCTGGATTATTCACCACTGAGTTTCTAATTCCTAAAACGGAATTTAACACATAATAGTTGCTTAACAAATACTTATTTTCTAAGTGAATGGATATTTTGTAGGTAATCATTCCCCATGGGAACCCAGTGCTGTACAATCACCAAAGACACATGCTTCAAATGTGTAATAATAAAATTTACCATGTGTTTACTAAGCATGTAAAATGTTTTGGGCTTAAAGTTGGAGAACAGACAGGTTATTCTCTGACTTGTTTTTACTCTGAGGTTTCCATAACAGATGTTTTATTTGCCTGGCGATTCCTATTTACAGTATGTTCCTATGTCCTATATACAGAAGTTTGTTAAATATAAACACCTAAAGGACAATGCTTATGAAAATAGAATCCTTATTGCTTAGAGGGTTCCCAACAAAAGTTCACAAACAAATGGCCACCATAATTATGACAACAAAAATACTAGATTGATTAAATACTTTACTGCTCACTGTGAAGGGCAGTCATTTTCCAGGGCATTCAGGTGAGATGGGATGATTTGTTCCTTGAGAAGGCAACAGTGGTTTCCATTCTGAGGGAAAAGGTGCAAGTTCTTCACAACTTTGACACACTGGACATGGGCTGGGGGATTGAATAGATTAGTTTTCCCCAATCTTTGCTACACTTTTCATGGTGTGTGACATGGAATACTGTAAGAACAGCACTGTTGGGAACTAGGGAGAAACAGAATGTCTAGTTCATGCTAACAAGAGGAAGCTGTACTTCTGGGATGGAAGAACCGGTGTTCTTTGTGGAAATCTGGAGGAAGTGGCACATGATTATCAGCTAAACACATCAGCACTGACCATGTTAGAGAAAATTCATAGGTGGGCACACACAGATTTTAGGACAGCAGCTTTGAATGTCTTGAGGCCCCTTTTAATAGAGAGAAGGACGTGGAGATGTTTCCTCCAAATAATTTATAAAAAACCGTATGTCTTTAATGGTGAAAGAAGCATTGACTAGAAATAAGGTCACTTAGATGTTTTTCCATAATTTTTGTCTGATTAGTTGACTTCTGGCAAGCCAATCGGGTTTCCCATTTGGACACCAGTCAATTTCTAGAAAATGAATTGGTGAGATACAATGTTGTATGACTTTGCCTCCAGGACTAATATTTATGAATTTATTTTTATAAATTCTAGAGGAGTTTAAAATATTTATAGTATCTTAAAACATGTATTAATTTAATTTTCTCTTAGAAGTAGGAAATGGTCCAGCATTTATAACTCCCCTGGAGTTATATCATTTAACAAACTACCTTTCAAATTCATGCTGAGTGGTGGGGTTCCTGGACTTGGAACTTTCACTGATCTAAGAAAGTGGTGAGCCTGAACAAGAGAGGCTGAGAGAGAACCCAAATGAATATGACTCAGTCAGTGTTGCTTGTTGGTCTTCAGAATTTCTTGTGTTTTCTGCTTTTTTGCTTTAGTTTACAGTTTTACCCACCTTTTTCTCTCCTCAAACAAACCCCATCTACCTTTTAAAAATCCAATTCAAGTCATCTTTTTGTAGCCAACCAGAACACATACTTGTGCCATAGCCAACAAGAGAGTGAGTGGCACTCTCATCACTAAGTTCTACTCCTCCTCATGTCCTATAAATCTTCTCTCAGACTCAGCATAGCACTTTTCAGTGGAGGTGGCTCTCAGTAAGTGCCATACCTGCAGAGAAGCAAGAGTCATCCTGGTCCTAAAAAATTGTCAACTACTATATGTCATTGAAACATTTGCTCAATGACAGATGCTCCTGACCTTCATGACTTCAGATCCTATTTATATATGCTGCCAGACTTAGAGTGAAGAGGAAAAAAGCTTGAGTATAGCATTTGCTATCCTTTGCTGGTGCAGCATAAGGATCACATGATTCTGACTAAATTAAACTAACAAAAGTTCCTATTTTAAAAACTAATTTCCAGAGTTTTCCACTGTAAGGTTTTATTTATTTCTTAGTCAAAAGTTCCTTCTGGAATTCAATACCACCCTTCTTGATACTAGTTTATAGTATGTTACTATATGTAATCTATCATCTATGAGGGTACAAATTTGAAGTCTATAGGAAACTTTTCTCCCACTTTCCCACTAGCCCAGCAAAACCCCATCATTGGTTCTATTGCTTCTTGCCCTAATCACTCCAAGCTGTATTTCCTCCTCTGCTATCATCTCCAGCCATTTGTCCTTTCCACATCCCTACATTTCTCTGGAGATTCATTCCTGAATCATTCTTCAATAAATGTCAAGAGTTCTGGAACCTGACTACAACCAAGTAGAGTAACAGCATTCTCCTTGTTCTCAGCATGTTTATAGTAAAAACAGAAATTGTAGCAATCAAGCCGAGAAATCCTGACCAGAGAAACCATTTCTGGTAGTTTAAGAAGAGGGAACTGTTTAAGAGTTCTGAAATGATTATCTTCCAACAAAAAATTATCACCAGAGGCAGTAACGGTGGCAGCTGAAGAAGACTTTTAGGGATATGTCATTATGGTTGCACTGAAAACATCACATATTTCTTGCCTCTGTTTTCTTAGGGATGAAGTTGGAGTTTTACCATACATCGACACGAACACTTGTAAGCAATAGGGATACGTAGTCACTGGTAGGTGTAGAGTACCTAAGATTTGTCCACAAACTGCTCTGTAAACAACTTCATTGAATCCTGGCAAACACCTTTGCCAACTGAAGTTTGGAAAGGTAGGTTCTACATGAAGGAAGAAGATCTGTTCAGAATCCACATTGCTTTCGGATTATGCGGCATCCAGAGAACTTGGCAATGGTTTTCGGGGGGTACTGAACAATAGGAATTGACAGTTGGCCTTGTAAGTGCCTGGGTGGTAAGGCACTGAATTTTGGGGATCACACTGGGGAAATTTGTGGGAATATCTGGCATAGCTTGGCTGGTGATGAACACTTAGAAGGCTTGGAGCAATGAACACTTATCATAACCTGCCGTGAGCGTATTCTGATATTTTGACAACAGACATAGACCTACCGATCTGTTCCTACCAAATACTATCACTGCTTACAGGAACTTCAACATGGAGATAATTTAAAAGAGCCCAGTAAGAGGGCCAATACTTCTTTTTCTTTAAAGTCCAGAGTGTTATTTAGAAGCCAAAAAATGGTACACATACCTTGGGCCTTGAAATCAGAGTAAGGCTTGTTTGGAATCACAATTCTGCATGCTCACACATGTATGTCTTTGGTAAAATTAGGTGTTCCCTCTATATCCAAGGTTTTTATATATAAACACATAGTGTGCCAAACTTTTCAGGCTGTTGGAGATTAAAATCAGGTAATATGTCTTATATGATAGAGGTGAGTGGTGAGAATTATTAATTTGTCTTCAGTCTAAAAAATAGGAACACTTTTATGAATAAGGAAGGGGTGTGCAGCAGAATACAGCAGAGTGTGAAGAATCTAGAAGATTAAAGATGGAAGTTGCTGTTAGATAAAGATGACCAGAGAAGCAGTGAAAATTCTTCATTCTTATTTGATGCCCAAAGAGATCAGAGAGATAATCTACTCCTGATTACTCATTTACAATAGAGGAAAGCGGGGAGGGGGAGGAAGAAAGGAAGGGGTTGAGGGAAGGAGAGATAAAGGGAGGGAGGAAGAGAGAGGGAGAGAGAGAGAGAGAGAGAGAGAGAGAGAGAGAGAGAGAGAGAGAGAGAGCATTGCACACAAAGCTGTCCTTTTCACAAGCTTCCTGGAACCAGCCAAGCCAAAGTACTTCTAATAGGAAGCACCTATTATTGATCATTACTGGGGAGTATGCTAGAATATCAGGACACCAGCTGGATTGGGGCATAGAATGTAAGAAAAAAGCAATATGCACAGATCTTCTTGATGGGGGAAGTTAGCAGTTGTAAATGGGACTCAAAACTCCTAAATTCCAGGCCCCACACGTGGAGTTTCTTCCTTTATCTAATGCAGACTTTCTCCTGCCACTTATCCCATTGGTTTCTAAGGCCCAATCTTTGGTGTTCTGGGCCTCCTCCCAGATGTATGTATCAGACTGGCCTCCCCTTTCCTCTGGCACTGCACCTACGCCTCAAACAGAATCTGAATTAGGGTGAAGAGTGAAACAAGCATATAAAAAGAAAAAAAGAAATAGTTTCCATGATGTAGCCATAAGACCTTCTGCATTCACAAACAACACACACATCTGTGGGGAATTCCAGAACAGCCAATATTTCTGTTTGTGGACAGGACAAACTCTACCTCAAGCACCATTGCTCCTATACCCAATGTGCAATAGGTGCTCACATTCCTTTCCATAGGAGAAATACCTTCCTGGTTTCTAACCCTCTGTGATTTTACTGCAGTTTGGAAGATCATCAAAACAAAACTTACCCTGCATATAGCATTTGACAATTCTGAGACTTCTGTGGTCTAGGAGAGCTCTTCAGTCTATTTCCAGGAAAAAGGAGGATATTATTTGGTAAATTAGTATCAAGAAAAATGCTACTTAATTTAACTATACCTTCCCCTCTCTTTTTTCACACTTTCCTTCTCAAAAATAATTTTAGTTGAATAAGTACTGAAAGAAAGACATCGCTTTCTCTCCCCTTCACTTCCTTCCTTACGCCCATTTTCACAATGTGGATGAGTTTTATGGAAGGTTTGTAATTGCTGCAGGAAATATTAAAGTTGTGCATTTGGAAAGGAAGTAATCCTGTGCTTTCAGAGGATGATATCATTTTCTGGTTTTGTTTTTGTTCTTCATCTGGATAGGCAATGAAGGATAGGCAATCAAGAATAGGAGATAGCCATTCATTTGGGATAGTTTACAGATGGTTTTGTCTAGAGATGGCAGGAAACATAAGTATATTTCTTGACCATTGAGTTGGCTCTTTGAATTACATTATTAATTCTTTAGACCTATTTTCTTGATAATGAAGCTCTTTCCCTCATTTTTATTGCCCTATTTTCTTTCTCAAACTGTTTTTATCATCCCTCAGCTCATTTGATTGAACTTTATTTTCGATCAAAGTCTATGCTGCAGTCATTCTGTGCTGGGCTTGGGTGTGTGCAGGGCACAGAGTGCTATGAGTGCTGGGTTAGCCACTTGAGTCTGGTTCCTTAGGTGAAAAACAGAGCAGCTGTCACTTTACAAGTGGAAATAAATGTTTGATATTTTCCCTTTATTGTAGCCCAGAGTGAAGTTTGTGAGTCCTGATATGGGCTAAGACCAAACTTCTTTTTCCATTATCTGTTATAATCTGAATCAAAAACCTTGAAATGAAGATGACTGAGTTGGGTCTCTATGGCTGCCAGATAATGCTTAATCTCAGGATTACATCTTAACTTTCAGAGGCCCAAAGGAGTTAGGAGAATGTGTTATTATGATTGAAATAGCAATAACAAGTATAGTTAAATCCCCAACTGCCTGGGATGCCTATGAAAAAGAAAGAATGAATTAGATGTTTTTTTGTCTCTCCGGTTATATCTTCCTCTTGTTATCTTTGATAATATTCTCAGTAGAGTTATACTCTGAACTCAGCTTCCTCTGTTCCCAGTAATGCTTCAGGTTATAGGAGAAACCAGATCGGTGGCTGTAACCATTCAAGCTGAAAAACCACTGAGTTTGAACTTTGGACACACAAGTCGCAAGTCTTCAACCTCCAACCTCTACTAGGCCTGCCCTGAACTGTTCAGAAAGTTCCCTTGCCTCTCTATTCATGGACATCTGTGGTAGACAGAGTCACCAGTACCTCTCTTGACATCCCTTCCAAACTCTTATCAAACTACTTCTGTGGGACTCTCTGGTCTTCTCTGGGCTCTGTTTTCAGGATCACTTCCCTTCCCCCCACTAGTGAGTTCAGTGGCACAGTAGGGGTGTGGGAAAACCCCAGTGTGGAAGTTCTTTCCTCTCCTCCACCTCCCCAAGAGTCATATAGGTGGTGACATGCTCAGCCTGGTGACACCTGAGACAAGGGCTGTTAGAGAACCCCTCTACCCTCAGTATTGTAGGATCTCTGAGAGCTCAGCCTGTTCCTCTGTGAGATATAAAGTCTGAAAACCAATCCATATAGGATATTTACTACCTTTAGTTCCCTACTTAACTTGCTGTGGTATATACTCCTGCATATGTAACCTCTACATATCTTGCTGTATTTTATCTCCACAATAATTTCCCCTGCAGCCTCAGAGGAGAGAGGTCCCACCTACAGAAAGCAAAGTTGGGTCAGGCTCAGTGTTCCCAATTCTCAGACCCGAGGACACTAGAATAGGACCTGCAAAGAAACTGGGAAACTGTTCTCTTTGGTAACTTTTCACAGTTGGAATTAGACTGAAATGATTACAAAAGTGAGTGCCACAAGATACAGAGAGGAACTCCTCAGGTGACAATGGTGAAAAATTCTTAAATATTAATTCATGTCATCAAGGCAGTCCATGTTTTGTGACCCTAGAATGATTACATCTCTGGTAAAAGAGAGGAAAATAAATGATGGGAGCTCCCTGTTCCAATAGGCACAGTGATGATGCCAGTAAGATTGAAGTCCATAAAACATGAGGCTGTTTCCCTAATTTCCTCTTCTCTTGATTTTTCTCTGACCTGACAAGAACAGACAAGAACCGCTTTAAGACTGAGGCAAGAGCTAAACTTACCTGTCTGCTAGTAGAGAGCTGAGTTTGAGGTAAAGCAGTTCTCACAGCTGAGCAGAGCCCTTCCCAGATTTGGGGAGAGGGCCAAGGACAGTAAGAAAGTCTCATGGTGTAACTGTGCCTTTGTCTCTGTTCTCATTCAACCGCAGTTGGCAGTTTGAAAGGGGAAGCGGAAATAAGAACACACTCTCATCTACACAGGCATCTGCACAGGCCCCACCTCCGACCCGAGCCACATCCTCTGGCTTAGGAGAATGAAGAACAAAACATCTGCCGAGCTCACAAGGTACAGCTCACTGAACGATGTGAGTTTTGGAAAGTCTTTCTCTTGCATAGCTAGAATCCCACTGCTGTCCTGGGAGAAGAGACGAGGTGGAAAGTCTCTGTCTCTCAAAAATTATCTTACATGTATCTCAGGGAAGATGCTTGCTGCCCTGTCTGCGCCAGTTAGTCTATTTTAATAATTCCTTCACATGCTGGAAAATTCCCCAGAAGCTGGCTTTCAAACGCTACATACCTACTCGTAGGCAACTTTTTTTCTGTGTTAACTTCTTAACACATTATTTTTGTGTTTGAGCTATTCTGGAGTTTTGCTTTTTAAAGTAAATGGCTACTTTCCCGCAGAACTATTGAAGGCGTACTTCAAAAATCTGTTACAGCGATGTCTTCAGTTTACTGGCTTTCAGTCCCAAAAATCTTATTAAACTCTAGAAGATTTTTCCCCGTCCTCACTTTCACCCTTGGGTGGCATTCAGCATTGTTGAGAATGTCTCCACCTCCCATAGCTTCTGATACGCTTTCTTCTCTGTTTGATGTTGTGCTGTTAGAGATATCTCCACCTCTCTTTCCTGATTTTTATCCTGCTTCATTCTCTGCATTATTTATTTATGAATATTTATCACAATATTTATTATGCCACTCCTCTAATAGGCTAAATGTGATGGATTTTCACATGGCTGTTCTCTTCTTTTAGCTTCATAGCTGTAGCCGTATTTGGATCTCTTTTTACAGTGTTTCCAAATTCCATTCCCACTCAACAATAAGGCTCCATTGAATATCCGCAGTACGGTTAAAATGAAAAGAAGACTAAATAAAGTTTCTGTTCAGCAAATAAAGTTTCATAATTATTTTCTTAAGTATACTATAAGGAAAAAGATAATTCTTTCCTCTTTTTCTGTCTTTCTCAAATATCCATATCCTCTCCAACTACATTCCTTTATATATAGGGAAGAAAATGTCTAATAAAATTTTCAGTACATAGTACTAAAATGAGTGCTAAATATACACAAAAAGTAGAATAATTAAACGGAACACTCTCTTGTTCTCTCATTACTATTCCTTTCTGTACAAATTAAATATAAAATTAAACAAGTGGAATGCTTAACGTTTCCTGTAACCCTAATTTCTGGAATTCACATGTTTAACAGTTGTATTTTTTAAAAAAAATTGAGTTTATTGGTGCATTTTAGGTAAACAGTACAGTTACATTCAAAAAAAAAAATAGTTTATTGGTGCATTTTAGGTAAACAGTACAGTTACATTCATTATTGGGATCTTGTACATCTACATGACAGGTCTTGGTTCTCATTTTTTCCCCTTGTCCCTGCCCTCCTTTAACTGTTGCATTTGATGTGTTCTGGATATGGAGAATGTCATTTCTTTTTTTTTCCATCGAGTTTATTGGTGCTTTTTAAGAATACAGTACAGTTAATTCATCATTGGGATCTTGTACCTTTACATGACAGATCTTGGTCCTCATTTTTTCCCCATACCCCTGCCCTCCCTTCACCCCCTGAGAGTGTCCTTTCAGGGAATTCTGGAAATATGCGAAGGAATTTTAATTTTCATAGTGATGGGAAACTGACACTAGTAAATTCTTGGAGGCCAAAGAAGCTGAATGCCTCTGACAGCGTGAAATGGTATGGCACAAGGAATATATTTTCCTGAGCAAAATACCATCATTTTAAAACACGGATAAATTCATAATTACAAGAGCAGGCTTTGGAACCAGACTTGGGCTTTGAGTGGCTCTAGTCCTGAACACATCTTCAAGCCTTAGTATACCTGGCTGCAAAATGGAGATAACTGCTCTGAATGCAAAGGAATAAAGGAGTCAAAGCAAAAGTTCAACAAAGAACAGCTATATTTGAAGTCTTTTGAAATGTAACGTTTTTAATTTACCCAGGGTGCTGTGTATCTATCATTAAAGAAGCCATTGCATGAGCAATTTTTATATATAATTTATTAATAAAAAGAACATTGCTATTTGTTTATCAAACAATTGAAATTTGTTTATTAAAAAAGAAATGCTTACCCCCCTCTCTCTTCTCTCCCTTCGGCCTTGGAAAACTTTAAGTGCCTTTATATCTTTGATAACATGAACTTCTTTGACTATGTTTTCCATGGGCTTCATGGAAACATAACCGTCAACCCTCTCTGTAGTAGATGTAGTTCAGGATGTCAGAAGGTTTTTGTGAGATTTGCGCTAATTTTTCCTTTGACTAACAACACCCTCTTACATTACCTGAGGTAATGAGTTGGCTCCCTGTCACCTGTGCCACCCAGTGGCCTGCTGCCTAGTGACTCCTCCAGTTTGTCATCCCAATGGCCTTTTCCCTCCTCTTCCATGTAATTTAGCAAAACACCGAAGTGGAGTGGGAACCATCTGACTTTATCACCAGCTGCATAATAGTTACTTAATTTTACTGAATCTCAGACTCCTGCCAGAGAGATATTTGGTAAGGTTCTCTTGGCTTTAGACACCTGCAAACATCTACACAAACTATTTTTCCACCCTTTTATAACTACGTGTAGTTTGCTATGGAAAATGAAAAATTTATGTGACAGATATTTGGTAAGAAAACATTGTAAAGTTAATAGAAAATATCTCTAAAATGCTCTTGTCCATTGCAAAATGAAGTAAAATTGCTTTGGTATAATATTTTTCTCCAGACATATAACCCAAGAGTTGTGATAATTCAGAAGAGTTTCTAAGAATGGATGCACCCTTCAAACAGATGGATGGGGCTGAGCAGAAGTTCTGAGGCTGAAAGCAGAGAGCTCAGCTGGCGGGTTGCCCAGACCTGGGGCTGAGCCAGGACGGAGGTCCAGAGAGGCCATCCCAGGGTAAAGAAGCTGTGCAGAGTCCTGCTCTGCCTAGCAGCTGGGCCTTTCTTCCCAGCCCCACATGCAAGTCATCTGCTCCCAGCCAGCCTCAGAGCCTGAGGTTCGAAAAAGCCTATTTTTAGGAGTCTATTCCTTCAAACTGCTGAGGTGGAATTTTTAGTGAATTTATCTCCATCCTGTACCAATGGGGAGAGAATGGATAGAGTTCTGGGGGCCGGGGGGAAGGCAATAGTTTAATGAGTCAAGGTTTTTCTGAAGTTTTTCTAGGCAGAAAAGGGCTTGCCCAGGTCCTCTTGTTCTTCTCTCTGCTCCTGTATTCTGGGTGGGAACATTTCGAGATAAGGGATTCTCTCACTTTCCTAGCACACCTGACTTCTGGAATCACTTCTCTTAATGAAAGAAAATCATTCCTTCCGTCCAGCCCTATCTTTCCTATCTGTAAGTCCAGCAGAACTAAGAGTGATCTGTCTCAGGCTTACAGAGGCACTTTTTCAGATCTGGATCATAGTTCTGCTCAAATTGGTTTTATTGGGTACTTTCTAGAACTCAGAAATAATCCAGGAGGGAGGGAGCTGAAGGGAGCGGGGGGAGGGAGAGAGAGAGAGAGAGAGAGCGAGAGAGCGAGAGAGAGAGACAGAGAGAGAGAATGATTGAGTGTGTGTGTGATGGCGGATATAAAGAGAAACAATTTAAAATATTATCTCTTGGCTTACTCTTTAGGAAGGATTAACAAGAGTCAAGCTTGCTTCTTCAGGGCACAGATTCTTGAAGATTTTCATAAGCTGATATAAATTGTGACTCTCCTAGGAGAGTGTATTATATTTCCCAGTTTATTTTCTTATTCCAAGGAAGTTACTTTTGGGAAACTTGTCCTTCATTATGGCTACTCAGTTCTGTTTCTTTAGAGTGAATAATCAATTGATGTTTTCACAATGGTTGGAAGGCTGTGAGCACAGGATTGTTCAACTGCCTGTTAAGTTTATATTCCACATTTCTTTTGACCAAAGCCATTAAAGACAAAAGCACAGGACTCCTGAGAGGCCTTGAGTGGGATTTGATTGGTGAATGCTCAGTGTTTCATAAGCCCACTGAGGAAGGCAGAGCCTGGGGCCTTATGATGAGGGTGGAGTGCAGCGGGGAAGTGGACAATCTGGAGAGTTAGCAGGATGCGATTTAAGGCCCCTGAGCAACTCCGTGGACTCGAGAAGTAAGAAATGTGAAATTATTCTCAATTTGATCTCTTACCTAGAGGAAAAGAGGGCTTCAAGCAGGGTTCTTTCCTATACCACATGCCTAATTGCAATGATATAATTAGTCATAAGGAAGGAGAGGGAGGAATGAAAAGTTTTGGAGTGAAAGAGCATTTAAGGTGCATAGAAACTTGGCCTTAATCCATTTGGGCTGCCATAACAACAACAACAACAACAACAGCAACCACAACAACAGCAACAACAATAAAATAAGCTAGGAGGCTTATAAGCAACAGATATGCATTTCTCATAGCTTTGGATACTGAGAAGTTCAAGGTCAAGGTGCCACAGATTTAGTGTCTATGAGGGGCTGCTTCCTGGTTCCCATATAGCTATCTTTTCGTTGTGTCCACACACAGTGGAAGGGGAGAGCTGACTCTATGAGGTAACTTTACAACCCCACTCACAGTGGTTCTATACTCATGGCACAATTACCTACGAAAAGTTCCCCGACTCCTAATACCATCACTCTTGGAATAGACATTTGAGCATACGCATTGGAAGGTGGGCTAAGACCATTCAGATCATAGCAGTCTTGGAGGAGACATGGAACAAATGCCAGAGACTCAGTGACCTCATGGATTTGAGAAACGTTAAAGCTGGGTTCTTTAGGTCAAGGACTCTGAAATCTTAAAAAGGGTAAGCATTAAAAGGTACAGTAGCAGAAAGGATCTGGAGGCTGCTCTATGTATGGTGCAAGGGCACAAAGGAGAGTGTGTGGTT